GATTACTTCTATTGACATTTCTTCCTTGAAATTGCAGAGAGCAGTTTTTGTCAGTGTAGGACTGGCATCTCTGTCTCTTGCTCAGCGTAGATGAAACTAGGGGTTGAGAAGAATTGGGGATTCAAAAAACAACCCTCTAAGTTCAGAATTCTCAAAGCCATTCCAAGCCAAGCCTGATGCCCTCCGATTCTGCCTTGGTGATTTTTTGTTTGCTTGCCTTGGCTACTAAAGGTCTGTCAATTTACAGTCTGCTAATTTTTTCCTTCCTTCCTTCCTTCCTTCCTTCCTTCCTTCCTTCCTTCCTTCCTTCCTCCCCATACTATTGTACACTAAATAGGTGGCAAGATAGAGTAGGGATTAAACAGAGGCAGAGGTTAAGGGAAAGGCTCTTTCCAAGCTGTTCTTGCATTCCATGCTGTTCCAGTGAACTCTGGAAATGTTGCTTCTTTTATTCCTCTTGATTCATTGACCTGGGAGAACAAACGACAGTTCCTAGATTTCACAGCTGTTTCTCAATTCCTCACACTGCTAAGAGGATTTGAGAACTGACATGGTCTTCCATTAACGTGCCTTGTCTTACAATGTCATCCTGGAAAACAGTGATTCATTCAATCATCTTCTTTTCAAAAATTTAGGAAGCATTTTTTATTCCAAATGGCAAGCACTGATAATAAAAATTCCCAAGGGGAGCAGTCAAGGAAATACGCTTGATACATCCAATTTGGAAAATATTTTGCCCCCTGACACTTTGGGGAGTAGTTACTCTAGTTTTGGAAGTACATTTTTTGCCTTCGACTACAACTTCATTTAACTCTTAAAGTTCAACGCAAGTGTTCTGTTATCCCATTTTCCATGAAGACTGGCGTGCGTTGGGGTGGGGTGGGGTGGGAAGAGGCACTATGCATACCAGGGGATGGGCTCAGTGATTTCCCTAACTGTGCCATGCTTCATCCTTTCCAGCTGCTTTTAGAAACTTGTGCCATCAGAAATATGGATTCTTTGGAGTGCCTGTACACTGTATGGTTTGGCATCTGCTCTTTCAAAAGAAGGCTCCCTTCTTGAGCCTCCAAATGCACTTCCTGTTCTTAGTAGTTCCCATTTTGGACTACTGCATGCCTGAGAAGTTATGGCCACATCTCATATGCATGGTGATCACAGACTACTTCTTCATGTGGTAAAGCATCCAAGATAAGATGGGATATTGCTGGGCTATGTGAAAAGAAGGAACCTATTCCTTCTACAGGTTGCAAGGAGAAGGCTTCTTGAGCAAAATGCCCTAATTCTGAATAATTATTGCACCTTGATCCTCCAGGCAGGCAATTCCCTTTAATGTTGTGATTTTTTTTTTCACATCTTAGAAATGCTATCTGGAGCAGTCAGGCTTTTTACTGTAGATTTAAAAAAAAAAAAAATGGGTGGCCACCTTTTTTCTGGGCTTTCTTTTGTACTGCCTTTGCAGAGATATGAGCAGTTTTGCCCTTTTCAAAATGGTTGCAGAAACTGTTTTTGTGCTTTGCAGAACAGAGTTACCTCCTTCAATTCATTCCTAAGTTTATCTTTGCTCCTTGATCTAGGTTTGGATCAATTCAGATTGCCTTGTTATCTTTTCCAGGAATTGCATTGGTCCAAGAAGTCCTTGGCCTAGAATTCCAAGCACCAATTTATCAACAAAATCATATTATTCAGCCTGTTCATACAGGATGCTAACAAATGACTTGACTGATTTTTAAGGTTTCCAAGTCTTTGATAGAAGCAGGCCCTCTCATAAACTACACTCCTCAGGAATTAATTGAGTTCCAGTTTTGACCAGAACACCCCCATAGTTGTGCTTGTGGCCCCCTTCAGGAAGAATAAAGGATTTGTAAACACTGCTGGCTTCATGCTCCTAGCATAAAAGAATTGAACTTTTTTGCATTATTCCTTCCCCTTTGTAGAGCTCTGTATCTACAGGGCAGTGACCAGTTGTCAGCCAGGCTGTGCTATAGAATACTTATGACTTAAGAATTCTGTTGCAAGGAACTGTAGCATTTTCTTCATCTTGCTAAGAATCCATGAGTTCAAAATCTGATTTCTGACACCATGTCATGAAAGGCTTCCTTTAGGGCACACTAGTCAGGAAGTTAGACAAGAACTTTATTGTTTCACTTCAACCAAAACAAAGAAGGAAATCCCTGAATCTACTCAGATGTAAGTCCAGTGGCATCTAGTAGCTAAGCTATATAAAAAATGGAGCTACGTAAGCTGCCTTGGGATCCTTGTAAGGAAAATATGGCTTATAAATGCAATGCAATGAAATAGGGCTATAGATGTCATCTAGAAAATTAAAAGTAAATAAATTAGTAACATACAGTGATACTATCCACACATGCACCATCCTGGATAAGAGTAAGCCCCAGAGATTATGGTGGAACTCATGCCAAAGAAAACTTGCATCCAATGGGTACTGTTAAAGACGTTTTCTTGTATATCTTTTCAATATTTATACCCCATTCTTCTATAGGGATAATTAAAGGCTCTGAAACTACCAGAGCGTGGAAGTGTGGAAAAGGAGGACAGGGAATCAATTTTGCTATGGGCACACTGTAACAATCAGTTGACTTGACAAACCAAACCAAACCAAACCAAACCAAACCAAACCAAACCCCATTAGTGACTATTGTAGTAAAGCGCTTCTAGCAGCACAATCGGGGAGAAAGAACTCTTCAATTATTGTTTTCAAGTATCTTTCATACTATACTGGGTGCTAAAATAGATGAGCTTGCTTTGAATAACTACAATAGATCTTCTCAGCAAATGATGTCCACTTCTGAAAACTGCATGATATTATGCAGCAGCAATAGTTCGTGCAAATCAGAGTGGACAAAACAGTTTTGTGCTCCTTGACAGGCAAGAAAGGTATTCAGGGGCAGAAGTTTTTCAAGGTAAGCCTTACATTTTTAATTGCCAAATATGTCAGCACTGCTGAGATTAGTAAAACAAAAAAATGCGGAGGGAAGAAAAAATAAAAAGAAAGATATGCATACTGCTTGCTGTTTGGAAAATAGCTCTAAATTATTTAAACTCCAGCTGGTCAGTTCTGGATTCTGTTGTCCAGCAGTGGCACCTGAACAACTTTTTCTGTTTTAACCTTGGCAATGCCCTGTTATTTTTAATTTCAATTACTGTTAGTAGTTTAGAAGGACTCTGCTTTTCCTGTCATCCTCATAAACAGTTAATGACACTCAGGGCACTAAAGTCATCCTGGTGTGAGAACATGCATATGGATGAGGGAAGGGAAAACCAAGCTTTCAAACATGGCCCGATATTCTAAATAAGAAAAAATACAAACAATCTGCAAATATAACAATGCAAAAATATCAAAGCTCATATCATAGTAGAAGGCCAGAAAACACAATCCAGGTAGAAGAGATAGAGAAAGCTTCATCCTTCCCAACATGAAGAAATGCTTTGTCAGCACTTCCTATATCTCTTTCTAGCTCTAAAACATTTTTCTAGTTAGTTCTTCAACATCCCTTCTGAAAGAAGAGTTTCTTATCAGGAGAAATGCCAGTAGCACACAGGTTGAATGCAGATGCAAAACAAGGTTGCCAACATCAATGAAGAAAGAATGAAGACAGAAGAAACTATTTTACACAGTATAAAATGCCGAGAAGCACTATTTTCCTACCATCTTATGAAATCAATTACGCAAACTCTCAACTGCAATCGTTGAGGACAGGAGGGGGAACTGGAAGAGCAGAGCAAGTGACAATCATATGCACATTTACCTGGGAGAAAGTCCCTCTGAACTCATAGAACTTACTTCTGAGCAAATACATAGGATTGTGTTGTCCAGCTGGAAGCTTACTTTTTAAAAACTTCCAATAAACTTAGTAGGACTTACTTGTGAGTAAACAATTTGGTGATGTAGTTCTTTATACTATTTGTGATACCATGATTCTTTCAAACCTTTGCAACACCTTGTATCAGAGACTTTTTGCCATAATAGCATTGCAAGAACAGTTGCATCATTGGCCACAAAGACTGACATGGTCTAAAATGGTCCAGATGATGCCTGTCATTGCACTGGATTACTAACATAGCTATCCATTCAGAAGACTTCTGAATTACACAGAAGTCTTATTTAGTTCATGCTGCAAAAGAGTAATTTCTCCCCTTATAAATAGCATAAATTGGGGGTGGGGGTCAGTGTTGCTGCTCCTGAGGAATAAACTGTGGTACCAGCCTAACATCCCTCACAAGGCTGCTGTGAAGATAACATAGTTGCAGGCAAAGAAAACCATAAATGCTTGTGCTTGTGGGAGAAAGGATGGAATAGCACAAAACATACAAATAGGCAAAGATACATTTAAAGGGAAAGATCAAGGAAAATTAAATTGTAAAATAAAAGAAATACTTTCCCCACCAACGCTTCTTTATAGATTCCAACCTTTCTTTCCTTTTTCTACAAACATTGAAAAAAAAACCATCTAATTTTGATCATTTCCCTCATGCATCCATAACAAAATTAGCACATTTCCCATCAATAAGCTTTCTGAAACACCAAAGAAAGAAGGGGAAAGAGAAAGGATAGAGCGAGTGCCTGGGTAACCCACGTACAGGTGTCAAGCATGGGCTGGGTGTGAGTTGTCCTTGAGCCACGAGTCACTGTTGAACTGTAAGTTATTGCCTTGTCTGAACCCTGCCACAAGAAGCCATGGTTTGGTAACTGCAAACAGCTCATGAAAAGAACCCATGGTTTATTTGCAGAATGTAAATTGAGGGTTGCCTGTGGTTAGCAAACCATGCCTTGTTAGTGCGGCTAGGTTTAGATGACACCATTCAACTACAACCCCTCGTTCCGAAACAACCCACACTCAACCCATCCTCAACTCTTACGTGGGCGAGCGCCTGGCCTGAGCCATGTCAGTGCCTTTGTGAACTTTTCTGCGCCTCAACCAGCATCTGCCAGGCACTGGCGAAGTCCTTTCGACCAGGATGCTTTTCAGCTTTGCTTTTACCTCAAATCTACTTAGACTTGAGCTCTTGGAGCGAGACTTCTTGCGGAGATACACCGAGAAGAACCTGCGCACCGTGAACTTCTTCATATTCATTTCCATCGCCCCGTTCGGGACCGGCGGCGCAAGGCAACGAAAGGAGCCGCAGTGTCCGAGCTCGCTCGCTCGCTAGAGCATGCCGCTAGTCCCCGCAGTTAGATCCACCCGAGGAGGGAAGAACGGAGGGAAAGAAGGAAGGAAGCGACGGGCGAGGGCGAGCCGTCCTCCTTGCCCTTTTCGGGTTCATCCAGTCCCGCAGGAGAGCGCGCAGGCCCGCAGGGGCGCCCCTCCAGAGCCGCCGGGGCGGCGCGGGGCACGCGACTCGCTGGCCGGAAAAGAGGAGACGCCTTTTCTCTCTCCCTTTGGTCTCCCGCGCCGGTGTTTACATTTCATCGCTGCGAGCCCAACTCTCTCGCTCGCTCGCTCGCTCGCTCGCGCTCTCCTCCACCCTCTTTGTGTGCCTCCCTCCCTCGCCTGAGGTCCCTACTACGTCCAATCGCAGCCGGCTTTTCCTGCCTGCATAACCGGCGCTCAAGTCCACGCCAGCGCCAAAGCCTGCAACACTGGGGAGAAAGCCTGGCTGTGCCTATCACGCGCCCCTCCCCACCCACCTAGCTCCCCACCCACCCAGCCACCCACCCTCCGCCAGCCGCCGGGTAGCGGAGCGGGTCTTTGTCGACTGCCTGGCTCTCGGGGTCGCACGAGGGAAGGCGACGAGCGCCCGGCTGCTCTGCCGTTTTAAGCGGCTTGGAAACTGCGGCACACACGCAGAGAAAAAGAGAGCTATAATTATCCTCGTCCGATTTGGGAAGAGATGAGCTCTCACAAAGGAGATTCTCCTGGGAAATTCTCCTGTCAGTCAAGAGAGGCCACTGCAAAAATATGTCACTTCCGAAGGCTTTGTCTCTCTAGGTACTACTGCGGATGCCTTGCCTGTTTTATTAACTTTGCAAGAGTTCAGAAAGATTTGTTTTATTTTCACTTCAGAATCTTGGGTTTAATGGCAGACTGGAAACTCAAAGCCATATGCCACTGAATTAGTCCAGGCATGTTGGTTCATGAGCAAGCCTTAAAATAAGCAGTACTTCAATAGAATCTCCGTCTGCTCCATATATTATGCTGTTACATTTATATCCCATCTTTTTTCCTCTTGTAAGGAACCTGAGAAGATTTACATAGGCCCATTTTATCCTAACAACAACGCTGTGAGGTAGGCTAGGCTGAGAATGAGTGACTGCTCCAAAGTCACCCAGTGAGCTTCATGGCTGGGCAGCAACTAGGACTCATATCTCCAGTCCAATGCTCTAATCATCACCCCAGAATTATATGCAACTTAACTTTCCAGCTGCCTTTGATCACCTCCATTTTCTAGAATAGTACTTTCACTTACAATAAGCATGCAATGAAATCCATTCTCCTTTCAACTGCCTGGAGAATGGGTGTGGCTGGCTAAATTTAGAAGTCAAAGGATGTAACTGGCAATCCTGAGACAGCTCTATAATCCCAAAGTGCATGCAAACAAAGGATTCTTTTGAAAGGATGCATTTTGGGACAGGTGATCTATAGAAACCAAAGGATCATGGCAAAAAAGTTTTGGTTTGAAAGGTGTATAGAAATGGCCGCATGTGACCAATATATTGTAGCAATATCATATATCTGCTTATCTAGTGTTTTCAGCAAAGAGCACCATCACTAAGCACTTTGCCATATTGGTTGCATTAAGCTGATACCGCTTCCCTTTGGCTAACATTAAGGGTTGCCCTTCCTCCCACACCAAAACAAAATTTCTGCACTGACTTATCTATTACTCAGCTGGCTGGTCAGAGACAAGGATGATAACGGCACATTGAAGGTTGTTCTGAGAAGCCAGTGACACCATATCGCCAGTCAGCCAGCCTTACAAAGAGGAAGCACTGTGTGTGAGTAATGCTTATCAGGTCTTTAAGCTCTTACACAGCTCTTTGTTGTTCCAGCCTGTTCTATTGGTCAACTGCTTTTTGCAAGCCAGCCAGAAATACATATAAAGTCAGAAAAGTGCTGATGTTTTCATGGCATAAAACTCCACTGGAACCCCTCCCCACCTTTTTGTCCATCATACCCCTGCACCACCACATAATGGAATGCTCACGTGCGAACAAGACCTTCGGAAACTGTCAGTATCATAATGGTATCAGTCCCAGTTTATTTCACTCAAGAACATGGCTAGGATATGCTGCCACATGCTTCTCTTCATCCTTGCCTATCCTGGCTGGGCAAGCTGTGCCAAGAGAAACATGGCTTCAGCTGTTGAAACGGTATTTACTGAGTGGGCTCAGACAAAATGAAAACTCACCTCCAAGGTCTGAGTATGGTTTTTTGTTGAAATGTGATTCAACATGTTGTTTGGATCCAGCAGAGATAACAAACCATGGTGAACATGCCATCGTTTACAATCTAACAACAAATCAAGGGTTGTTCTCGCATCAGACCTTTTAAATACATTCTTTAGTATCTAAGCCCTTGTGAGTGCTGATGGACCTTTACTGGTTTTATTATACTGTACTGTTTTTATGTCTTATGATTTTATTCAACTGTTTTATGATGCTTTATGGTGTGAGCCACCTAGGGAGGCCATTCTGGTGGTTATAGGCGGCATAAAAATAGGTGAATAAATAAAAATAAGTAAAATAAATGAGACAATATAATAGCCTGCATTTCGATGGCAACTCACAGACAGCTGTTGAGCATCATTTCTCTGAATGCAATCAGCTTTCCTGTGGGAGAGAAGGATATGCGTGCCTCTGATCCCACAACTCACAGTTATCCATTTTAAAAGCTATTTCATCATTAGCAACATCAACAGTGTCTTTTATATGTTTAGATCTGGAAAAATGGCCATTTGTCAATGGAAATAAGAATGGTGCAAGAGAAATGGTGATTTTGCCCACCCTGGAGAACAAGAGTGGTTTTGAATCCCATCGATTACACATCTTTAAGGTTACTCATGCTCCACTGGCTCTTACATTATAACGGGGACTGCGATCTGTTGCCCTGCCCCTCCCATTTACTCTTGGCCACCAGTGCAGACATTTAGGCTGGTACAGGAAGTGGGGCATTAGATTGATGTGGGTGTCCCTGTACAACATGTCTGCAGTTCTTAGAATATCTGGCACTCCACCATGTGTGCGCCAGATTTTGCACTGATACAGCCCTTTTTGTGAAAAGGACTAAAACAAAATGTGGCAGGAAAAATCTGCAAAGGCCACTATTTTTGTATATGATGTTCTAGAAGCATTCTGTTTACTGCCAGAGTTAGTGTAGTACAGGGACTTTACTTGAGAGGAACTCCAATTGAATTCAATGGTATGTCTAAGTAAACAAATTTAGGGTGCTGCTGCATGAAACTAAGATCCCTGATTCAAATCTCTTCTCTGTCAAGAACTTACTAAATGGTTTAGGCCAGCCATTGTCTTTCAGATCTTCCTCCCACCCAAATCCTCCCTGCAACCAGAATGGGCATGATACTGAGCTAATATACAGGGCTATTAGGAAGGTCAATGAGATATTGAAAGCAAAGGTCCTCCAGAAGACAGGAGGGTTAGAAGCATCTACTAGGAATTGCAAACAAACAGATGTAGGGTGGACATTAGGAAAAATCCCTGATGGTTGGTGCTGTTCGGTAGTGGAAGAGACTGTACCAAGGGCGAATGGGCCTCTTTGCTGCAGGAATTTAAGCAGAGGCTACATGGTCATCTGTCATGGATGCTGTAACTAAATTACTTGCATTGAGCAAGGCATTAGACTAGATCAGCTTTCCCCAACTGGCTTCATCCAGATGTTTGAGACTTCAATACCCATTTGCCCCAATCAGCAAGGCCAATTGTCAAGAATTACTGTTCAAAGCATCCAGAGGTCACCGGATTGGCGATGTCTGGATTGAAGCATCTACAAAGCCTGTTCCAACTCTAAAAATGTGATTCTATGATTCTAAGTACTTTGAACATTCTGCAGTGCTCTACATATGCTAAGCATTACTTTTAGAACAAACAGAGGAGAGCTGTGATTTTGTAGCCTGTTGCACATGCCCATGTCTAATTGACCTGAACGGTTCTGGACCTGAATACAGGAGTGCAGCCAAGAGTATTTCACATAAAGACTGAACCAACAATGTAATAGCTAAGTTAGGCAGCACCCAATTTCCTCAATGATTTCAATAAAAAGGTACGAGCCAAGAAATAAATTAAATTGGAAATTGCCTCGCTGTGTTTATAAACATGGAACTGTCAGGTCAGCTTACAGTGTGAAAAATGGAGATTAGGAATTCATGATACTAAATAATTAATTGACTCCCCTTGGAGGAACCTTTCCTGCTGCAGGAGACAAATGGGAGAGAAGTCAACAAAGTGGATAGGGATGAGATAGAATCAACAGAAAATCAGAGCCAAGTAACATGCTCAGAGGAGTAGCGATACACAAATATTTCAGGGTTTAACTACTCATTGACTGTACAACTCAGTGGTTGAGTAAGGGTTTAGTGTGGGTTCTTACTGAAGCCCCCAAATTTCATAGGAATCAAGTCAAGACCAACATCCCCAAACTGTGTAGCTTCAGAAATGTACACTTGCAAGCACAATATGCTAATACATATAGATGAAAAGAAAGGTTGTTATAAACAAGTTTAGCAGAGATCCATGTGACCTTTGGGGAAAGACTGTATTTCAGCTGCAGGGATTCTCATGTTAAAGGTTCCAAGTTCAACTCTCAGCAGAGCAGGATAAGATGCTGTCTGGAAGTCCAGAAAACCGCTGCCAAGCATGGTCAACAATAGTAGGCTAAATGGATCTGTAAAAGGCAGGTTATGGAGCTCAAATGAAGTTTCTTGATTACAGACAATTCCAAATACAGTGGTACTTTGGGGCTCACAAAAACCTCAGTTCATGACCAAATTAGGTTGCGAACAGAAATTTCAGAAATTTTTTTCCTCATTTTGCGAACTCTGGGGAGGGGAGAGATGGCCATGATCGTGTCTGGGGGGAGAGATGGCCACAATTGTGCCTGTCTCCCCCCGAGTGTGCCTGCAATCACGCCCATCTCCCTCCCCAGCACGCCCGCGATCGTGCCCATCTCCCCCCCCCGAGCACACCCATGATCCCACCCATCTTCCCTGTGATTAAAAAAAAATATTTACAGATCAGATTAACCTTATTTACATTGAACCTTATGGGGATATTTGACTTGGCTCACGGCCAATTTGGGTTGTGACCAGAGTTGTGGAATGGATTAAATTCGAGAGCCAAGGTACCACTGTATTAGAACCACTGTGAGCACCTGCACAACTGATTCTAGGACATCTGTACTCAGCAGTAAAATACTAATAGTATAGACTAATGAAAAATGCTTTTCCCAAGACTATGCAGA